TCTATTTAAATGTAAATTGTTTGTGTAACATTAATTAATGCATTAAGTAACTTATTAAAATTTTAATAGTGTTTATGTGAAAATTCAATTGGATTCACTTCTGGGTGGTGATAGTTTTTTACAATTCAGAACAATAACTGAGATTAAAGTCTCTTCTAATGTTTAAAGCAGCAAATAAGTTCTGCTGTTTGGACATTTTTCAGAGCGACAGATATTTATGATATAAAACTAAATTATAAATGTTGAAGTATTTTAAATTTAAGCTTTGTTATATTGCAGAATATTTATTAGGCCTATATTTAGTGGAGTCCTCATCATAATGTATTTTTTCAAATATTATCAAGTTGTGTATTGTACATAAAATAAAGTTGTTAGTTACTTTTTTGATTCCTAAAAAGTTGTTGAAGAAATATTCTTTAAATAAAAGTTAAAATTATTGAATGGTGTGATTTTTGTAACAAAATTCTACATTGAGAATTTTGACGCTCTCGCAACTTTCTCGTAAATATTAACAAATTCAATGAAAAATTCTACATCTTCAACAAAATCTTTAATTGATAATCATCTGCTGAAATTTCAACAAATAAAAAAAATGAAATTACTGAAATTTATTTGATATATCAATATGTAAACTTTTACAGAAATAAAATATAACATGATTATTTAAAGATGTGTAAAATTTTGGTTCTGACTTATATTTTTAATAACAAAATATCAGAGTTTAAGAACTTTGTAGTATTCTGTCAGAACTAGAAGTTGTAATTATCTGTTAAACTAATGACATCTGATTACAACCAGAAAGACTAAAAATGTTTATGGCAAATAAGTTTTCATTTGAAAGTTTTTGTGGTTTTTTTTGTATATTATGCGCAGCCTGCACTTAAACTTATTAATACACTACAATAAACTATGGGCGATAGATTTTAACTCATTCAACCAAGTTATTTCTAACTTTAGCTGATTCAAAATTATAAAGTATGCAATAAATAAGTTATCATTAAATCGGCTTTATCAGTGGCTGAATGGATAACAACACTGACCACTGATAGCCGTTTCTGGACAATTAGAAAACGTGCCTGTCTAATTGTGATACGAATTAAATCAAAATATAAAAAATGACAGTACAATTAACAATGTAGAAGACGATAGACTGTTCTCAAATCAAACAATTATTGTAATCGAATTGTGTAGAATTTGTTAGTTTTGAATTAACCTTGCTTAAAAAAAGTGTCTAACATTTTCTATAAAAATAGTGTCAAAACACACGTCAATTATAAAAGGCACGAGAAATAAAATTCATATTTCCATAAGATGTGGATTTTCGAAGAGCTTATAAATATGTGTCTCATTTTTGTTGACAACATTATGCTCTATTCAGTGGAAAAAAGTATTTCCACATTTCCTGATAGCAACTATCGCTCATTACAGCTCAGACATAGTTCCATTAATTAATAAAGAAACCAGCAGAACGTTGGCATGCCTCGAACGCAAACATTTTCGTAATATATTAACCAAAGTTTACTACATTGCTCATAA